GTCGTCGTGGTTGTTGTTGTCGTCGTTGTTGTTGTGGTTGTTGTTGTCGTGGTTGTTGTTGTTGTTGTTGTTGTTGTCGTTGTTGTTGTTGTCGTCGTTGTTGTTGTTGTTGTTGTGGTTGTTGTTGTCGTGGTTGTTGTTGTTGTTGTTGTTGTTGTTGTTGTTGCTGTTGTTGCTGCTGGTGCTGCTGGTGCTGGTGTTGGTGCTGTTGCTGGTGCTGGTGCTGGTCTTGGTGGTGGCGGTGGTGCTGCTGCTGTGCTGCTGCTGCTGCTGCTGCCGCTGCTGCCGCTGCCGCTGCCGGTGGCGGTGGCGGTGGTGGTGGTGGTGGTGGTGGTGGCGGCGGAGTTCTGCTTATTCTTCTTCTTTTTCTTGCTGGTGGTGGTGTGTGGAGGTTGTGGTGGTTCAGTTTCTGTGTTTATGGTTGTCGTCGTTGTTGGTGGTGGTGATGGTGGTGATGGTGGTGTCGCTGCTGTTGCCGGTGTTGCTGTTGATGCCATTGGTGGTGGTGGTGTTGTGGAGGGGGTTTTGGCATTGAGTGCTGTGAAACTGGTAGTGCGTTCTTGGTGGTTGTGGATGGATGCGGCTGTGGCTGTGGTTGTGGTTGCTGCTGCTCTTGTTGCTAGCTGGAATTTCGAGCACGGAGACCACGCCTCAATCTGCGTATACGATGGCAATCGTTCCGAAACGGACCTGTGACGTGTCCTCAACCTGCATCCCATAACCACCCTCCTAATCAACTAGAGGGAAAACTACCAAACAGAATGATTAGCAATGGTTAACAGATGAGCAAGACTCTGCATAGGACCAGGTAGCCTGGCCTGATCACACGGAGACCCCTCGGAATTCTCGAAACCAGGTGCTCTAAGCCTTAAACCCTAGGAATTCTGAGACATCCTCACCGACTCACCGAAGGTTTTTGCTGTTCTGGGGCTAGAGACGATCGCCTCCAATCAAGAGATGCGGGTGCCTGTTCTCGAATGTGGGTGTTGAGTGTAGGGCGCAGGGTTTATGACGGGCCGGTAGCGGGAAGTCCTAAACAATCCAGCCGAAAGCCGAGCGAAAAGTCTGCATCCAATATGGAGGCCTTGGCAATCTAATGGTATTCCCCTTATAGTCTTTGTACAGTCATACTACAATACATGCCCCGAAATCTGTTCAATTTGTTCATTCATGGCTAAGCTACATAAGCGCTTGTGATGGCTTTTCCGCGGGTTGTCGGCCCTAGCATGCCCAGACTCTTATCACGGACAACTAGAGCATTCTCTCACTGCCTTGCGCAGACTTTGGAAATCCTACCCTGCAGCTTGCGGGCCGGTGGGGTGCAGCTTTTGTCGAGCACTGTCTCTTGATAGGTGAAAGCGGTACATGGCGGCACACTATAACGGCCGAATACTTTGGGAGACTCTATACACCCTGCGCTGGCCGGCGGAATACGTGAGTTCTGCGAGAGAAGGTTTAAGGTTGTGTCTCGAAACGGCACTGTAGCAGGATTCCTTTGAACTATGAGTGCTCTTCCCATATTCAAAACTTGAAAATCCTCGAGTTCGTCAGTGCTTGTAGCTCTCGTGGGGGGTGCGATAAAGTCGTTTGAAGCTCCCAATCCCGCAGAGGCCCTGAAAGGTGGAGAACTTCCCTACTGTAGGGGCCTCAATAATCAGAACAGGGTTTTTAGGGGCTCCTTATTATAGTTATAGTATGAGCCCTATTCTAATTATTATAGTAATTATTATTATTGTTAAGGTCCCTATATTAGTATTCTCATGGACCCAGGAGGATGACAACATCCAGCGCCTCCTGGATGAGCGCTTCAGCTCCCTTGGCGTGACGATGATGACCCTGACACAGCCGCTGGGCCAGTGTTCTTCACGGCTGTGACCCTCGAAGCATTCTCATACAGAGGCCTAAAAGAATCGCTTATACTATTTTGGGGGATTCCTTATTATATTTATACTAAAAAGGACACCAAAGCCCTATTCTAATTATTAAGGCCCCTATATTAGACGTTCAGACCACGAATCCCCAGTCGCACGTATGCCGGTTGAACCAGGGCTTGTTCTACGGTCCGTTTCGTCAGAGTTCTGGTTGTCTGCGCATCCATCTTTAAGGCTCCGCAGCTCAGCCTCAAAACCTCCGAAGCTTTGCTTGGCTTTCCCACCCAAACCCCTGGCATATTCGTGGCCGCACCTGAGGTTCGTGACGTTGGACTCGCTGTCAAGCCTTTACCTTCCACTCATCAAGAAGAGCTGTGGGGGGGCAGGGTTCCGGGATACACCAGATGACTGCCTAAGCTCTGCGGAGCGTGAGCGGAAGGTTGTCATGCTTGCATCCCGAATTCTGATTTTACTTTCTGAATTGCGCGTCATGTACGGCAAGCTCCAAATCCTAACAGGAAAGTGAAGGGAGCGGGTCAAAGATGTGAGACTTCAAAGCAAACGGGAGTGGCTGGTTGACAATCGGCCCGAAAGTACAATATGGGTGGCAACTACTACTCCTAGTAGGTCCTAGTATCGTTTGTAGCACTCCTACAGTACTACTCGCAGTACCAGTACCAGTACTACTACCACGACCACTGGGTGTAAGCACCCTGCACTGGTTGCAGAAGAAAGAGGTTGGGGAATACTGGGACGGGACCTTGGGGCGCAGGAACGCGTGGCTGATGTTCTACTTCGCAGGCTTGATCATTATCGTCTCAATTGCCTTGATGAGCCTTGGCTGAGAGATCCAAAGATCTGATTGAAAGGTTGGAAAGCTCACAATCTTGCACCTTGAGGGGTTTCGCCGGACCCTAAAAAGACATGAACCCGAAGCTTGGGTGCTGCTACCGGCGGCCAGAATGCGGAGGAGCGTGGGATGACAGGGCTTGGGGATGTTTAGGGTGTAGGGTTTGAGCCTGGCCTTGGCCATTGGCGAGCTGGTTGACTTCAAGGCAGCCCACGAGGTCTGGAACCTCTATCATGACAAGATTGCCTTGAAAGTCGGAATGCTTTCGTGAGGTCATCAAGTAATAGTAATAGGTGTACCTGAACGCCAGGTCGTTGTGAAGGTAAAACGGTGAATCGATTAAGGAATTGCGCGTTCCCTCGTATTGGAATGTGTGGCGTCTGGTTAATCCGTCCGCAGAACAAACCAATATGGGCGCTGCGAACCCCAAGCGCTCTGCAAGCCCTACGGCTTCAAGCCCAACGCACGGATGGTTTTGTTGACCTCCGCCATCCCAGAAACAGGCCCTCATTTTCCCGTCGTACACCTCTTCAGTGGCAGGGTCCACGCCAGGGTAAGTAAGAGATACACCTCACTCCATTGCCCAGCACCTCAAAGGCACCGAAAAGCAGCCTTTCTTCAGCTGGCACATCTTGTGCGACCTGCTTCGGGGCCGAAAAGTCTAGCTTCACATGTGCTGCCGCACTGGAGTCAGAAGTTTAGCAACCCAAAGCCTGTAACACCTAAAACTTAAGCAGCGGAGAAGACCAAGCAAGGCACCCTAATATAGAACCTTTAAGGTAAACCCTAAACCCTAAACACTAAACCCTAGACGCCTTAACTAGGCCATAAGTCAAGAGTAGCATCAGCCCAGTTTCACCGCGGAATTTGATGCGAGAGGCGCGTCCTTTGGACATTAGCCTGTGCAGAAGAAGAAGGCCCTAAGTATAATAGGGTCCTTGATACAAAGGGCCCCTGAATATAAGCTGCCCCTATTTTCAAGCAATCTCCATAAGCCTCGAGGAATTTGGTGACGGCGGTTCTCGTGGAGGGCGCGTTGGAACATGCACGGCAGGACATCTTTGGAAATTCTGGTTGGGGTGTTACATGAGATCAGGGCTCCGTGTGGGTTCGGGTTAGAGGCCTTTTTGCCGTCTTGCACTAGGTTTGCCCTTTCACCCCAAAACTCCCGACGGTAGCCTCCCAGCGTGATAGACGCCCCAGACTGAGGGCACGGTGTCTAAAAGCTACATGTGCAGTGTGCCTTGCTTAAACCTAATGGTGGATTTGGGGGCTTCAGAAAGTAAGAGACCCGAGTGACGTGACTCTCAGTCCCAAGATGGTTTCGGTTTCTTTAAAACCTAAACCCGAAAACCCCAAACCCTCTTCTTTTTCTCCCCCCAAAAACCCCTAAGCTAAGGTTCCCACTTCAAGACGTCTGCTGCCATGTCAGTGCGGGTCTTCCGATCTTCCTGTCTTTTTAAGGGGTTTCCTGAACCCTAAAGAACCTATGATTTCCTTTATGGTCTTTAAGACAAGGTAGGCTATTCGGGATTAAGGTTGGGGCACCTACAGTTGCACGAAGGAGCCCAAATCAAGGAACCCTATTCCATTATCATTACAACGTAGTAAGTTCAACCCGAAAGCCCTAAACCCTAAACCCTGCAATAAGGGTGCAATTCCTTGCTATGTAGGAGGCGAAAAAATGACCCTAAACCCTCCTGCAGCCCGGCTGCTTCATAGGACCGGGAATTGGAAGCGAAGGTTGGCATGGTCACAGCCAAGCGGCTCGGAGGATTTTCGTTGAGGAGCCTTGTCGGGGTGCCAATAGCATATTATAACAGCATATATATATATATATATATATATATATATATATGTGAGAAGGGCCTTTGGGGTCTATTTGGCCACACCCCCATTAATTCATTTA